AAATTACCTGTTGCAATGCATATGTATTTTTAGTGGTATATATAAATATATAATAATTCGAGCACATTGTCCCGTAGGATTAAGGCTGAAACACAAACAATCTGTCCCAATATAACAATCGATCCATGTGCTAACTCCAGCCGTCCACCAAAATTGAACCTACATATCTGTTCTCCTCTTCTATCTAGTGGTTGTTGAAATTTCCCTAAAACGGGAATTTTAATTTACACAACTGTTAATATATCGGATAACGCATATAAGGATGGTAAGAATGGATCATTTGTTCTCATAAAATAACTTGGACTTGTATAGTTGTATAATTTCTTCTACATGCATATTACAATTAAGTCAGCGTAGCAGTACAAACTAGAGTAAATTGCGTTTAGGGCTACCTTTTATTACCAAAGTTTCACTTTGGACTGAAACTTTGGACCACCCTTTAACACATTTTTTTACTTTGGGCTAGGTTACTTTACCTTTCATTCACTTTGAACCACCCCATATAAACTTTTTAGGAATGCATAAATGACTTTTCCTACTTTAAAGACATCAGCAACCCGTAACCCGGTAATCTTTTTCAACTTACACAGGCAATTGTTTACAACATTATAGAGTAGATGCAGCTAAAGAAAATAACTTGGGGTGGTCCAAAATGCACCAAAGATAATATTACCTAATCCAAAGTAAAAATATGAGCTGGAGGATAGCCCAAAGTGAAACTTTGATAACAACAAGTGGACCAAAGTGCAATTAACTCTATAAACCATAAAGCCTGCAACTGCCAGTAGCAAAGTGATGTTTCTGCAGTGAGGTTTGGCATTTTCCCCAGAATTTTGTACTACAATAAAAAAATTGAAAAAGAAATCATGGAAAACACTTAGGCTCGGTCGCCCGACACAGAAGAAAATTCGGTCGTTCTGACACTGGCATGCATGCAAGATTACATATAGTTAGGCCTTGTTTAGATTTTAACTTTTTTTTTCTTTGAATTTTCAACTTTTTCGTCCATCAAACTTTTCTACATATACAAACTTCCACATTTTCCATTCACATCGTTCCAATTTCTTCAAACTTCTAATTTTGGCGTGAAACTAAACAACCTTAGTTCCTTATCTTTCTCTCCTTCTCACTTTAAATATTTTTTCTCCTACATTACTTATGGTCTGATCACACCGATATATTCATTGTAATCACATGATTATATTCTGATGACAGAAAAACATATGTATCAAACCGTCAAAATGCAATGTTTCATATGTGATAGCGACATGCTTCAATGTGTTTCACAAAGTTCAAGGAAGTACATGTCACTACTCCCTCTCCTCTCTCTCTCTTCACAACATCCATGCATGCATTTTAGCAATATTTAAAATGATTTTTTTCCTAAACTACTTATCCAATCTACGATCCACTCACACTTTTGTATTTGTTTTAACTGAATCTTTATCGTACGACTATATTTTGATGAAAAAAACATATGTTTCATTCTGTTAACACTTGTTTTTTATACGTGGTAGTGACACGTTTCAATGTGTATATTTTCTGTGTTTCACAAAATTTTTAAATGTTTTAGTTGCTGAGTTTTTTTATTATATATAACTTAATATTTTATTTGTTGATTAACTGAAATATGACCATCCAATTTTTTTAAGGGATCGGACGATCCGTAGATTCCACAAAAATCATGCGTGATCCTTACGTAGTCCTGAGACAACCCTCGGAGTTTCATTATTTTTGGACTTGTGTAGTGACCTATAGAAATTCCAAAATGATCCTGTCTAGAAATAGTCGAGCTGGACCCCTTCTTACCACCAGGAAGTATAACGAAACACATCAAACTGGGCCTGTTTGTGCGACACACGAATAACAAATATCAAGCCCAAGAAGAACGGAGCGGGGATCCAATGGTTTATAGTTGAATTAACGTACGAAACCATACTCGGTGTGCTGGCCCATGGTGAGGATGCTGCTGCCGAAGGCGGTGAACTGCGGCAAATCGCTGACTGTCGGACGCTGCAGCCGGAGGAGCGGCGGCTCAGGCAGCCGCGGGAGGGTCTCCGGCCAAGCCATGTCGTCGCCGGCGGCCACCTTCGATGTCCAGCTTGTGGATGCTGTACGCGTTTCTTCCGGTCATCGATCGCCAGGTACAGGTGCTTCTTCGCCACGGTCTCGCCGGCGGCGCCGTTGTGGCGTCCGAGGCGTAACCTGATCGTGGGCCAATGATCAGGTGGCGGGGACGAAGAAATGCTAGGACGTCGGTGGCGTCGTGGCGGCGGACGGGGCGCCGGAGATGGGAGAGATGAGGGCGGCGCAGGCGAAGAATCGGCCGCGACATTGTCCGCGCCGGCGCTTAGGGTTACGTACACCGTGACACCATTCGATCCTAGCCATGATTTTGTGTGATGGGCTTTGGTCTACCTCTCGGCCTTTTCCTCTGGGCCTCTGGCCCAAGATGGCCCAGCTCAATTGTTATTACTCCTTCCGTCTCACAATATAACAATCTAGTATAGGAAATGACGTTTCATAGTACAACGAATCTGGATAGACCTTATGTCTAAATTCATTATACTATGAAATGTTTTATCCGGTTCCAGGTTGTTATATTATAGGACGGAGGGAGTAGTTAGTAGTGGCAAATTCACGAGGCCTCTCGGGAATCAGGATAGCGTCCACACTGGATATGCGCATCTCCAGTGTGGATGCAAAATTGGAATAAAGATGGGAGGGAAGAAAATGGTTTGATGTGCACTATCAAAAAGCGCTAAATTCTATTCTTGATTTGATTACACGGGAAATGCATACACAAGTACATCGATCACACGTACTTACTTATATCTACGAGTATATCTACTAACATAATAATCCACTAGCAACACACCATTAGACCTGTGTGTACGTAATATTTATATGTACATATCAAAATTTAAATTATTATTGGTAGAGTCATATAAGAACGACTTCACCAAGATTTGAACTCTTACTGGTAGAATCATATATCAACCACTTACCCAAATTTTGTTGGTTAACATAATCTCTTCTTTGTCCAAATTGACGCAAAAGAAAAAATCGAACTAATGCATCCTGCTAAAACGTCTGGATACATGCATGCAGTGGGGGAGCATGGATTTATATACGAGATTGGGTAGAAAAGGTTGTTATTTCGATCGATCACAAGGGGTTAATTAATATAGCATTCCAAATTTTCAGATTCGGGGAATGTCGATCCGCAACTAAATAGAAGAGGCGAATACATATTGTATTATATTCCCTACATTCCAAATTGATCTGCATATTTCATATGTACACCAAGACCAAGAAAAACTAATATCTCTCATACTATATTTACTTTAGCAATAAACTCAATACATGCACCATCCCCACTATTTTCTAGCCAATAGCAAATCAAGATATTGGTTATAAATACTTGTGTGCATAGATGCATGCATCAATGCCCATCTACTCCAATGCACAGATAACGAATAGTCTTAATAAATGAACATAAATATGTAGATTATTTAAGAATAACCTCAAAAAAATTATATGTAAATCAATTTGGAATGGAGGGAGTATTGTACTAGTAACGGGTACCCATGCTAATGCTACGGAAATATTTGGTAATGCATATAAATAAACTAAAGACAACATATGCTATCTCAATCAAGCATATAATTGGATAAATTTAAAATACACGTAAAAATTGCACAATAGAGTTACTCCCTCCATTCCAAATTGATCTACATATATTTTTTGAGGTTATTCCTAAATGAGTATTTGTCTTCATTTATTAAGTCTATTCCTTATTTGTGCATTGGAGTAAATGGATATTGATGCATGCATCTATGTACACAAGTATTTATAATCCACATGCAATATCTTAATTTGCTATTGGCTAGGAAATATTGGGATGGTGCATACATCGAGTTTGTTGCTAGAGTAAATATAGTATGAGAGAGTTATTAATTTTTTTTGGTCTTGGTGTACCTATGAAATATGTAGATCAATTTAGAATAGAGGGAGTATTATATTGTTAATACATAGCTTTTATGATTAGGACAAAATTTAAATTGACTTTAAGATAACATTAAATTGGCTCAAAAACTAACACATCATCATACAATTAATACTTTAAGATAAAATTAGGATTAGGAATAGCATTTATAATGGTTGTGACAGGAGACACTCGTGCTGCTCAAAATCCAAGCAGGGAGGACACTGCATACATGGATGTCTTAGTCTATAAATGATGCATAATTGACATGAATTTAACTTTAAACTTGATAATCCAGCGATTATCAAGCATCACCTTGAAAGTATCATGCATAAGCTATACCTAAATCTGACCAATTTGTCATATAGCTTGCAGAGTTAGTTACATCAGGCGTGGTACCTTACTATGGCTATGACAGAGCAGATTGATACTTAAATCTATACTATTGTGACCAGCGTTTTGAATGATTTTAATGCTGATGACGTTCTGAACACCTCAAGGCTAGCATATAAATGAAGCACATTATTAAGATTTGAGTTTGGAAGAAAAGGAGCCTATTCAGCCATCTTATCACAGGAGTTATTTTTTAGCAGGATAAATCAAGTATAATGCTCCACATGATAATGAATGCCTTACGTGGAGAGCATATCAACTCAAAAGAAAATGAACCACATTAACCATGAGAAACCATTGAAAATTGAAGTGATTGCCTGGAATAAAATCAATGGTCCAATCTATGACAAAAAAGCTAAATAGGCAGAACTAGCAGGTAGGTGGGCATGCAATAGGGTAGTCACTGGATTTTGACTCTTTCTTTTAGTAAAATTCTATTTCCCCTATAGATTTTTTTGTCTCTAGATATTTACTCTAATTTTAGTACATTCTATTCGCAGTGTAATCAACTAATTCTACAAATGAACAGAGAGTCATAAATATTACCTTACAGACACACCCTTACTCCCACAAAATCTCAGAAAATAAGATAGTACATTGTTGAAACACGCAATGTAGCTGATGCAAATGGAATTAGAGAGATACAAGAATCTACAGGTTAAGAAGTGAACTTCTGAAAAATACATGTACAGATTTGGTCATTTACATAATATGATGAAGCTATAACTGCATAAACATCCCCTAAGAAACCTGAACATCTTTTGCAGATCATGATGCTTACTTTATCAGTTATCACCTCTAAATCTTCTCAGATCGCTTTGCAGTCTACAATGAAATTGATAGATCCCAAAATACTAAAAAGGAAGACAAACCTCACCATATAAATGACACCAAAATCTTAGTACATCAAAAAGGTGTCACCTCTGCCAATTTGAACAGTTTCTCCATGGTCTCGCCAGTCGTCCACTGTCTCTGAGTAATCCAGATACACCTTCATACTCCCTATCAACCAACAAGCACCTGACCAATGAAAGCAGAATTTCACACGTGCAACAGCAAAAATTTCAGTCCTTAAGCTGTCATCCCTTGCAGCGCTCGACATCATCCATCAGATTGTGCTCACACTTGTGCACTGCATTACATGACTTAGTACACAGTTTGCTTCACTAATTGTGCAGTGTCTGCCTAAGTTATGCTCTGCACGGGCTTAGATGGTAAATATGGATTAAGAGGAAAAATTAACTTTACAATTTGGGGACCAGAGTTAAAGATTATTGCACAGCCAAACATCAAATACACAATCCTCCATCTTAAATGTAAGAAAAAACAAGGGAAAATGAATGGCCGGTATGCTATCAGTTTAGGTCTGACCAAGTGAAATACAAAGTAGGTGCAGCCATGCATTTGTCGGTTGTTTTAATGGACTTACATTACAGTGCCTATGAGATTCAAAATGATTGAGCGTGGAAAAGACGGCTGGTGAGGATACATGCCAAAGAAGACCATGAGCAGCAACATGCGGAACCAAGATGTGTTAGCAGTATATGAATGTGACATCTATGTTATTTCAGTTAATTTACATTAGCAAACACAATATTGGCAATATAGAGGACGTGCAAACAAAAAAAAGAGCTTGCTCGTAATCGTTTTCATCACTCAAGTCAAAATCATTTTGGCTCAAGAACTAACATATCTCAAGTCAAAATCAAGTTGGCTCAAAAACTAACGCATTATCATACAACTAATACTTTCATATCATTGAGGGCATAATTCTTTGACTAGTTGAGTGGGAGATTGTTTATGCAGCATTTCATCTCGGCAGGAAGCAAAACAGAGTAATGTAACGGAAGAAAGGGACGAACCTTGGGATGTGGCGGCGCCACTGACGCGGAATTTGTGAGGCTGGGCCATGACAGCGCCGTCGTCTGGATAGCGTGCGAGTTGGGGGAATGGTTGCGGCCAGCAGAAGCGCAGGTCCTCGCGTGGAGGCTTCGGCGACGGCGGTAGAGCGGGGGTTTGTTGCGACCTGTTGTTACCACGTCCTTGCGATTGGCGATGTGGATTGGCGATTGGCGATTGATGCGGGATTTGGGGTTGGGGGAGAGCGAGGTGCGGCGATGATGGCGGATGCGGTTTCCGTGGGATGGGAGTGGTGCGCGTGCGGCGATTCCGTGGGATGGAGCGGTGCGCGGTGGAAGCTGAGGGAGATGGTTCGTTGGATCTGAAGCGTCAGATGATTTTCGTCTGTTGGATTTGATGAATGAAGTATGAAGGATGTAAGATCCAGCTGGTAATGGTAGATAGATGAACAATTTTAGTGAACGGCTGGAGTTAGTACTTCAAATTGATCAAAACCGATTTGTTGGTATAGATTGTTTGTGTTTCAGACAAATCCTTTCAGGGAAAATCTGCATGCCCAAATTATTATACCATTTATATGTGCAATCTATGAACATTATTATTCTAATTAATTTATCATTATTATAGTAGCACATCCGACCGAGCCAGCCTCATTTAGCAGGCAACTAGCATTGCAAGAAAGACAGAATATAAATAGCTACTCCCTACACCCAATCATATAAAGCACGCACACATTTTAAGTCTCAACTTTTAACATATTTAACCAACAACTATCATAATATGAATTGAATTTTCTTTGCTGAAAATAATATCGTTGAATTGACATTTCATTTTACTTTCATATGGTTATAATTAATTTTGTTGCTACAAAACTAGTAATTTTATCATCATTGAGAAATTACCCGAAGATGCTATATTTTTTACTGGGAAGTTTGGTAGGTATCAACCTAGAGGCATTTTCTCATAGACCATAGGATATGAGAAATTCTAATCCAAAGAAGAGCTTTGGTGACCGTGCCGAGTAATATAATACTTAATTGACCGCCTTAACTAAGTACTCCCTCCGTACTCGTTAAGGAAATCATTTATGACAATGTTTAAGTCAAACCTTAGGAATATAAATTATGCATAACTCTCAAGTTGTTGAGTTTAAAAATATAAAAAATATATGAATATATTTGTCTTGAAAAATACTTTCATAAAAGTATACATATATCATTTTTCAATAAATATTTTTATAGAAACAAAAAGTTAAAGTTGTGTTTTGGAGATCGTGTCGCTGTCCAAAACGACTTCCTTTATGAGTACGGAGGGAGTACTACTCTGTCAAAAAAAAACCCAATCCTGGCTATAAACCTAAACACATGTGTGTCCAGGTTCGTTGGTAGGATTGGGTTTTTTATGGGGCGGAGGGGGTAAGTGATACCACACACTTTGCTGCTGAATGCATGGATGAATATATGTTAAATGTTGTAAAAGCGATGAATATTGAAATATTATTGAAATGATATATTAAAGTGGGAAAGTGGCTTTATCCCTCGAGGGAATATCCTATCGTTTCGTGCATGCCATCTAAATAGTCATAAAAAATTTTAAAAAAAATTGACAACGTATACTCTACAATACTATATATATATATATATATATATATATATATATATATATATTCTAGATAATTGTGTCTGCATGAGATTAACATATACTCCCTCCGTTTCTAAATATTTGACGCCGTTGATTTTTTTAAATATGTTTGACCGTTCATCTTATTTAAAAAATTTTAGTAATTATTAATTCTTTTCCTAACATTTGATTCATTGTTAAATATACTTATATGTATACATATAGTTTTACATATTTCACAAAAGTTTTTGAATAAGAAAAATAGTTAAACATATGCTAAAAAGTTAACGTTGTCAAATATTTAGAAATGGAGGGAGTCCTATACAATAGTATTTGCTACTCCATCCGTCAAAAAAAACTCAACTTCTAGAGTTTGAATTTTATCCCATAAAAAACCAACTTCTAACATCCTATCTACCCTCAGCAGAGACATTTTAGTCATTTTCACTCCTCACTATTTTTGCATTGGGATGCCATTGGGATGCTAGGGGTTTGATTTAATACGGGAGAGAGGGAGTAGTTGGTAATATAGAAGTTAAAGATTGCGTGCGTATGCGTTACATCCAGAACGCTTGCAGAGTACAGAGCCCACCAGACCTTGAAAACTTGTAGCAGCCTGCCGGCCGGCGAGCGGTGGCAACGAGCTCGCCGCCGTCGTCGAACACCACGCGCAGAGTAGTGAGCCGGAGCACGCACTCGTCGCACTTCTCCTCGTCCCTACTACCCTCGGGCTCCAGCAACTCGACGAGGCAGTACTCGCTGCGCCCACCCATGTACACCAGCTCGCCCTTGACGCGCACCCAGCCGGGGACCTGGACGAACACACTGGTGGAGAAACCATCTTTCGTCGGTCGGCCGAATTCCACAATAGTCCTGGATGCAATATAAACAGGGGCTAAATATGATCTTTAATCCCGGTTCAAATGCTGTCAGGGCCTGTTAGGCCCCCCGGATTTTCAATCCCGGTTGGTAACGATCGTAACTTACCAACTGGGACTAAAGATCTCGGGGATCTTTAGCCCCGGTTGGTAACACCAACCGGGACTAAAGTCCCACCCCTATATATATGTCTTCTTCCTCCTCCAGCTACCCGAGCAAGCTTCAAAATTTCTTCAAAAAAGAGGGGAGGTCATGCCAAAATTTCTAGTGAATTTATTTTGTTGATTACATACAAATCGGAGGTGCCTAAAAGGTTTGCAACTTCATCCTCCAATGTTTTTTTTTTGTCATATTACATTTGCAGCTATGTTTTGCACACTTTTTTGTCTCCAAAATTTAGTTGTAACTTCATGAGAGAGAAAATTTGTGTGGGGAAGAAAGAATATATAGAAATTTAGTTGATTTGCTAAACAAGGTTTTATAAAATAGTTGAGAATGAAAATATAGTGAAAGTTAATCTTAAATAATAGAAAACAAAAATGAAAATTAAAAGAAGTAAAACACATTAAAATTAGTTTAAAACTTTAGAAATAGTAAATAAGAATTATTTGGTGTAATATTTTATGATTTTTGTATGAATAAAGATATGTCATTATTGTATGACTGTTGAAAGAGTTTGTAATTATCTTATAATTATTGTATGACTGTCATTATTATAAGAATAATTATTTGTGTACGATTTTTTTTCGACTCATGTAGATGGATCGGCAATGGATGTATGCTGACCGGCGGTCCAAAGAGTTTATTGACGGTATGCACTGTTTTTTGAGAGTGGCCAAAGCTAACAGGCAAAGGAGTTTTATTTGTTGTCCATGCAATAAGTGTAAGAATCAGAAGAAGTATTCTGCATCTAGAACTATTCATTTCCACTTGTTTGAGTCGGGGTTCATGCCAAGCTATAATTGTTAGACATCCCACAAAGAGCAAGGTGTTGAAATGGAATAAAATGAAGTGGAAGACGACAATATTCCAGACTTTGCTCAGTACATTGGATTTGAAGGAAATCAAACGGGCGAGGAGGAAAGGGATGCTGATGGTAACGACGTTGCGGATGATCTTGGTCAGATGTTGCAGGACGCCAAGGAGGACTGCGAAAGTGAAAAGGGGGCCCATAAATTGGACAAGATGTTAGAGGACCACAGAACATCGTTGTACTCAGGTTGCGAGCAGGGGCACAAAAAGTTGGATACCACTCTGGAGTTCTTGCAATGGAAGGCAAAAAATGGGGTTAGTGACAAGGCATTTGGCGATTTATTGAAACTCGTTAAGAACATTCTTCCGGAGGGATACAAATTGCCCGAGACAACGTACGAGGCTAAGAAGATAGTCTGCCCGCTAGGACTGGAAGTTCAGAAGATTCACGCATGTCCGAATGATTGTTTCCTATATCGCGGTGAGGAGTACGAGAACCTAGAAGCATGCCCTGTTTGCAAAGCACTACGATACAAGATTAGACGAGACGATCCAGGAGAAGTTGACGGGCAGCTAACAAAGAAGAGAATTTCTGCTAAGGTGATGTGGTATTTCCCTATAATACCACGGCTAAGGCGTTTGTTCAGGAACAAGGGGAATGCTAGAATGATGCGATGGCATGCTGAAGAGCGTCAACAGGACGGGATGCTGAGACACCCCGCCGATGGTTCGCAGTGGCGAAACATCGACAGAAAATTTAAAGAATTTGGAAAGGACGCACGAAACATACGGTTTGGTTTGAGTATGGATGGCATGAATCCTTTTGGAGAGATGAGCAGCGACCATAGCACTTGGCCCGTTACGATGTGTATCTACAACCTCCCCCTGGCTATGCATGAAGAGGAAGTACATAATGATGCCGATTATTATTCAAGGCCCCAAGCAACCTGGTTACAACATCGATGTGTACCTAAGACCACTGGTCGAAGATCTTAAACTGTTGTGGAAGAAGGAAGGTGTCCCCGTGTGGGACGAGGACAAACAGGAGGAGTTTAACCTACAAGCACTGCTGTTCGTAACCATCAATGATTGGCCTGCACTTAGCAACCTATCCGGACAGTCCAACAAGGGGTACAAGGCTTGCACTCACTGTATGGATGAAACAGAAAGTACGTATCTTAAGCACTATAGGAAGGTTGTATACATGGGTCATCGTCGATTCCTTACAGCAAACCACCCGGTACGGAAGAAAGGCAAGCACTTCGAACATAAGGTTGACCACCGTACGAAGCCTAAACATCGCAGCGGGAAAACAGTGTTTGCTATGGTTAAAGATCTTAAAGTAGTGTTCGGAAAGGGGCCTGAAAGCCAGCCTATAGAGAGCGAAGATGGTCACACGGCGATGTGGAAAAAGAACTCTATATTTTGGGAGTTACCCTATTGGGAATTCTTGGACGTCCACCACGCAATCGACGTGATGCACCTCACTAAGAACCTTTGCGTAAACCTTCTTGGCTTCCTAGGTGTATACGGAAAGTCGAAAGATACACTGGAAGCACGTAATGATCTGAAGCATATGGAACAACGCGGCGACCTTCACCCAGAACCAAAGGAGAAAGGAAGCCATTACTTGAGTCCAGCCAGCTACACTCTTAGCAAGGCAGAGAAGGAAAGTATGTTTGAATGCTTGGAAAGCATAAAGGTACTGTCTGGATACTCCACGAATATCAAGCGAATAATAAGCACGAAGGAGAAAAAGTTCACAAACCTAAAGTCTCATGACTGTCACGTGTTGATGACACAACTGCTACCAGTTGTAATAAGGGGTATCCTTCCAGACAATGTCCAGGCAACAATAACAAAGCTATGTGCATTCATGAACGCAATTTCGCAGAAGGTCA